TGAGTCAGACAGTGGTTAAGTAACAGCTAGTATGTGTCTGAACTCAGGTCTTCCTAGTACCAGATCCTCCAGCCCACTGTGCCACCTGGCTGCCTAAAAATGCAAAGCCACTTCAGGGAGTGATATGGTCAAACCTGTGCTTTTGGAATACTAATGTGACACATGCATAGAGAATGAATAGCCTCCCTTTCCCCACCACTAATATCCCCTCCAACCATCGTCTCTTTACCTGCCACCTCTCACTGAAGCCATTTCTCTGCTTCACAAGTAGTCACTGCGATTTCCCAATTCATCCAGGCCCATTAGCAAGGATGGGGGAGAAAGGGAAGTTAACTCTTCATCAGGAAATGAGAACTTTTCCAGGCTCCCTGTGACTCTGCCCTACCTGGATTCCATGGTTCACCTTCACAAACATGAGAATACCTCACCTCCTTAACTTCTACCCTACCAATCCCCTGATCATCCCCATGTACTTTGTCCACTCTGTAATTCCATGCCAGGAGCTTTGGTAGAAAGTCAATTAATCAATAAATATTAAGTACCTACTATGTGCCTGGCACTGTGCTAAAAATCATGGGCACACTGCTTTTTGGTTCACTATAAATTCATGCTGGCTATCAAATTCTTTCATTCATTTCTGCTTGATTCCCTTCACCCCTCACTCCCTTTCTCCACTCTCTGTCCACTAAATCTATAGATTTAGAGCCCTTTAAGGAGGGATCTTAAGAGGTCACTTAGTCCAATTCCCTCGAATTACAAATGAGGAAAGAAGAATCAAGGAGGATGGGTCACGTGCCCAAGTTCACATAGGGAGCAACGGTCAGTATTTGAACCCAAGGTCCTCTTACTTCAAATCCAACATTCTCTCCTGATGACCTCACCCTCAACTTTAATGAGCCTAAAATTATACCAAAGGTTTTTCTCTCCCAATATAAATATTTGTATCTTCTTTTTTCTATCCTAGAGGAAGTAATGCCCATCTTCCTTCCCAAGGCTATGACCTTAACTTATGGTGTCAATTCTATCTGGCTTGACATTGTCACCTCAATTATTATTCCCCTCTAGCATATCCAATTCTCCACTGGCTCCTTCACTTGCTTTCACATATGCATAAATCTCCCTTATTTTGAAGAAAAAAAAAGCAAACCAAAAACCCTTCAAATGATTCTGCTATTTCTTCTAATTTTTCCTTTCGTTGTCAATTTTCTCAACTCAGAAGCCACTTTTGTCTTAACCTTCTACAGATAGGCTTCCCTATCCCGAAACTATATTGTCAAAGGACACAGAAGACCTACTAATTCCCAAATCTTATGGCCTGTTATCAATAGCTCTCCTCCTCCCCATTTCTCCAGCTTCGCACACTGATCAGTTTTAGGACAAAAAATGAGTAAGATCTGCATAGAATAACCAAATGTGGAAGGGGGCAAGCTACTACACCAAATGGAAGGGGTAATGGCAGCTGATATTTACTTCCATAGTACTCTTAACTGCTATGCATTATTCTCATTTGAACTTAATCCTCACAATAGAGTTTTAATGTCCTTTCTAGACACTCAATAGAGTTGTAATGTCCTTTCTAGACACTCAACCTTAAAACTGGGAAGTAATTTTTCATTCTTCCCATTTCTCTTATCCCTGATCATCAAGTCCCATCAATTCCTTCACAATATCCTTTCCTGTTCCCATTGCTACCATCCTAATATGACCTATATCACTGCATATGGACCCAGGACTCATCATCCTTTCTCTAATCCATCCTTTATGGAGTACACCATGGCCTGATGATCAAAACATTTTTTGAGCCTTGCATCACCTTACTCCCTACTCCCCAGGAGGGCCCCTCACAAGTCACCTTACCCTGCCAATCCCCTCTAGTACTGGAACCATTTAACTCAGCTTTTGCTCCTGGAAGGGATGAATTAACCCATTTTCCTCCCCCATTCATTATCCCTATAAAGTTTCCACAAGTGCCCTTTCTTGGCCACCACTTACCCCATGTTTTCTCCCTCTATTAAAATGCAGATTTCTTGTTTTCACTTTTCTATCTGTATTCTTAGAGTTTATAGGTATACTGCTTGGAACATAGTAAACACATAATGTTAGGGGTTGGGGGAGAGCGGTCTTTTCAATTCATTCATTGATTCATTGATTTGTCACTTTTCTGGCTCAAAAAAAAAAAACAAAACTCCAGTTGCCCTACTTTGTCTATTGGATAAAGTCCACGTGTGTTCCACAATTAGGCCCCTAGTTCTCACTAGCCTTATATGAAATGAACCCCTACCTCTGCTGTTATGGCCAAACTGGTCTGTTTGCTATTTCCTGAATTGTGATTTTTTTATCTTCCTGCCTCTACTTATGATATAATCCATTCTGCTGGACTATCTTCCCTTGTTCTTACTGGTAAGTTAAGAGAGGGAGCATGGTATGATGGGTAGAACATTGTAACATCACTTCTGATGGGTCCAAAATCCCAGCTCTGCTCATTGTTGGCTGTGTAACTTTTGGGGTAAGTCACTGAATCTCTCTAGGTATCAGTTTCCTCATCTGTAAAAGGTGATGCCCTCAAGAGTTCCCTTCTAACTAAAAATCATGATTGAGTCAGTAAGTCTATATTAAGCACCACCATGTGTAAGGCACTGTGCTAAGCCCTGGGGATAAAAAAGGAGCTTACATTCCAATGAGGGCACTGAAAAGGTAAGGGACCCATATAGGGGTACTATCCACAAAGTCCAGCTCAAGTTCCCATTCTCCAGAAAGTCCTGCCACACTGTTTCAATGTTTTCTCCATCCTTCCTTCTATGACCATTCTGAGACAAAGCAGTCATATATACTTTATTTTGTGGTTATGTAATCTCATGATACACCGTCTGCATAGTGGAAAATACTTTGGCCTGTGAGTCCCTAAAGTTCCCTGATCACAACTTCTGCTGATTTTCTTCTGACCTTCCCTGTCCCATCTGAAAATCTATCCATCCTTTAAGGCCATGCTTAAATGCTACTGACTTCATAAAATCTTTCCGGATCACCCTAGTCAGAAGTGAAGGCCTCCCCTCTTCCCTGATATCCTATTACACTTCATGTCACATTTATAACACTGTCTACTTTTGTGTTTCATGGCTCCATCTGCTTGGCATTAAGCATTTTAAGGGTAGGGACCATGTCTAATTCAACTTTGTATCTGTTTGGCATTGAATAGTCCTCTGAGCCTCTGTTTCCTCATCAGTAAAACTAGGTATTTGGACTAGATGACCTCTAAGTTCACTTCTGGCTCTAAACGTGTAATATTTGTCTAGCTATACCACTGACTAGCTGTGTGACCCAAAGCCAAAGTCACTGGGCTCTCTGGACTGGTACCTCCACCTCTAATATGAAGGAGGTATGAGGTGGGGCTAGACTAGAGGAGATTCCTTACAACCAAACCATTTTAGGAATCTGTGATTAGACAATCTTGAGGATGTCTTAGAGCCCCAAAATTCTCTCCATCTCCTATACTTCTAAAATTTTATTTTTGTGA